CCTCCATTGTGTATCCCTGTTCTGTGCTCCAGTTTCCCTATTGTTATTCCCAGTGTAGGTTCCCGTTTATGTTTTGGGTTTTCATCTTCGTTTGTATCTGTTCCAACGCCTCGAAGGGCTCGCTTTCTGTTTAACCCTTTGTCTGCCTTTGTGTCTGCATTTTTGTCCTCATTACACTCATTCAAGAGAGTCCATATGAATTGTAGTCTTAGTTTCCTGTTTTTAGCCAACAGGAGTGGCACCTGGTGTGGTCTTCTGCATACCTAAGATGCTCTTCAGTTTCCGAAGTACTCAGACCAGCTCATGTGGCACCAACAACCATGCCACATTCAAAGTCATTTAAATCAAATTTCATCCTTTTTCTGATGCTCGGTGTAAACCTCAGCAGTTTGTCTTGACCATGTTTAAATGCCTAAATGCATTGAGTTGCTGCCACGTGATTGGCTGATTAGATATTTGTGTTAAAAAGCAGTTGAACGGGTGTATTTGTTAAAATATCCGATGAGTGTATCTGAATAAAGCCAGCTGGAAGAAATTCTCATCTGTTTTCATAAAATTGTCTTTTCAATGCACTGTTCACAAAGAAATACACTCTGAGTAATACTGCAAATACACTGGGTGCTGGAGATTAATAGTTATGCCACAATGGATTTTGATTTGCTCCTAAACATGTTTATCAATCAACTCATGATAAACAAATTAGTTGTGAATTCAAAACATTGGTATTATAATATCTGCCGTGGAGCCCTCGAGATTAGTTTAATTTCACCGAAATAAAACATTGTCATTTTAAATGATCCTCTGTGTAATTTCAACACACAAATTGTACTGTAATCACCTATTTCTGTCACGTGAGCTGTACATGCCTGCTGTAGAGTATATGGGCAGAATGTCGCCGTTCTGTTTATAGGTTTGTCTTCTGTTTGGCTCTGCTGGGACATTCCCCTCAGCATCTCATTCCTGCTTTTTATATATCTGTGGTTCAGGCGTGCTGACAGCATTGCCAGCTGCTGCCTGCTTATTTTAACACAGGCTGACATGACAGGGCTCCTGTGTAGATCTGCAGTACTGTACCCCGCACATACACAACCTTCTTCTGGGTTTATATTTGTTTATGCGCATCTGCTCGTGCATCCCACGTGGCCGTTGTCTCACCTGTATTTCAGCCACCATATTGTCATCAGGCTTCATGTGCACAGTGAAGGCCTCTCTCATCTCTCTCTGACCGTCATACAGGACCTCAATCTCCACAAAGTGTTCCTTCTCGCCCTCCTTGAACTCCACATCTTAAAACACAAACAGTGACGTGTGCAGTCATACCAGGAGGCAGCATGCAAGTTACTTAGTCACTGTGTAGCCGCTAAAATCAGGTTCTCACCCTCTGACATCGGGTTATAATCTTCTCCAGAGGTTGCAGACCCATCCTTTGTGTGCACCCTCACTACTGAAACCTTTGAAGTGTCACCAAAACGAAGAATAGGAATCTTCACTGTGGCCACTTCGCCTTTCACCTGGGGTTCACGCACACTATACTTGATCTCAGAGAAACGGATGATTGGCTCTGGAAGAAAAATTTTATTCACGTACTATAAACATTTAAATCAACATGTTTTTTTTCTTTTGAGCATCTTTGATCTGAACTCAGATTTTAACAAATAATAATGTGGTTTATGGGAATAAGAAGTGTTAAAAAAGGCAAAGGTACTGAGATTCTCATGTTCTGTTGTTAGCAGATGTTACGAGACGCAGCAAAATAATTGAGCTATTCTATTGTAGTTATTTACATCAGTTTTAGCTAACTTAGTACAAATACACACTCTTTGGCTTGGGCCAGGGGTATCTTTTTTTTCCTCAGCCATGATATTTGATACATTTTTTCCCACTTGTGCAAATGTTGTTTTATTATTTGCAATAAATTTAGTTCCAGAAAACACGTACTGTCTTTCTCATCTGTGATAGTGACCAGTGCTTCCTTCTGCTCCCCGATAGAGGCTCCGTAAGGAGACTTGCTCTTAGGAGTTCCCAGCACCAAGCGGAATTCCTCATCCTCCTCATGGATGGAGTCGTCTACCAGGGTAACCACACACGGCTTTTCACTCTCACCTGGGGAGAAAATTAGGGTACAGAGAATAAATATTATGTATATATATATATATATGTATAAATACACCTCAAATGATACATGAAAGATCAAATCAGAGGGAGGGTGTCACCTGGCAGAAAGGTGATGACTGATGCATCAGTATTGGGCCTTTCGTTATAGTCCATCATGACCTGAGCAGAGCCTTGGCGAGTGTAACAGCGTGCAGTGGATCTGAGGCTGATGTCTCCACTGCGGTACACTGTGGCTGTTACCTCCCCATCAGACTCATCCAACTTGTAGCTTCCTTCCTTAAACTGAACCTTAGGCACTGAGAAGCCAACAAGCAAACAATTACAAGAAAGTCTTCACAAATTTAAAAGAAGATAGTGTTTCATGCTATGAAGAATCCATATTTTTTTAAAGCGATCTGATATTCTTTGACCTACAATTTATGTGTAAAAACATTTAATAAATGCTTCATAATGTACATATGTATAATAGTTAAGAGCCTGCATATGACATCTTACATCAAAAGTATTTGTATTCAGAAAGTCTTTATTTGTCCTTAAAGCTACATAATAGTGCGCCAGAGTAACCATTTAGTCATTGTTTATTTACTGATAATGAACTTTTATATAAGTTATATGAATATAGAATATCTTCTGAAAAGATTATGAGTGCAACTCTTTGTTTGGAAGGAGTAAAAAAAAAAGCTTAGCAGATTTATAAATCCGTACTTTGGTTTGAATTCTAAACCTGATACTCACAGTCAGTGACAGTATCATTGATGGTGATGGTCGTCTTGCTTGGTTCTCCTAGCACCGCATTCATGGGCATCCGCAACACAAGGTCAAAGGTCTCGGGTCCCTCTAGTTCCGGCTGGCCCAAGTCATCCAGGATGGTTACTCTAAAAGTCTGCATTGTCACCCCTGGAGCAAAGTCCAGGTTGCGGCTAATGCCAACGTAGTCCTGTCCAGCTGGCAGACAGAGAAGAAGCCATTAAATGATGCTGTTATTTAATGCGACTGAGTGCTGTGGATTCTGTCAAACGCCTGATTTTACCTTCAGCAGAAACGGGGTCGCTTTTCCTGGAGCGGATGGTGACGGTAGCGGTTTTGGACAAGTCAGTGCCTGTCCTCCAAACCTTTACCTCGACATAGCCTGAGCTCTCATCCACGATATACTCAGGCTCACCAAAGTACAGTGAAGGCTCTGTGAGAGTTGGGAATATTAGGAAG